ACTGAGGGTTGCGATCCCGTTGCCGGTCCCCGGTACGGGCGCGACACCGAGGGTTGCGATCCCGTTACCGGTCAGTAAAAAAAAAAGACAAAAAGGAAAAAAAAAAAAAAAAAAGGATCACAAATCTACATATGAGGTGCAAAACCATAACACTCCTAGACAACAACATAGGAGAAAACTCTAATGACCTGCGTATGGGGATGACTTTTTAGATAAACATTAAAGGCATGATCCATGAAGGCTGGCCAGTTAGCTCAGCTGGTGAGAGCATGGTGCTGTTAACACCAACAAAAAGGGTTTGGATCCCTATACCAGCCAGCCACCAAAAAAAAAAAGGCAAAAGACCTGAACTAGACATCTCACCAAAGAGGATACACGGATGGCAAGTAAGCATATGAAAAGATATTCAACATCGCATGTCATTAGGGAATTGCAAATTAAAACAAGATACCACTACAGACCTATTAGAATGGCCAAAATCTCTTGTTTTTGCCAACACCAAATGCTGGAGAGGATGTGGAACAACAGGAAACCTCATTCACTGTGGTGGGAATGCAAAATGGCAGCCACTATGAAAGACAGTTTGGCAGCTTCTTATAAAACTAAACATAACTCTTACCATATGACCAGCAATCATGCTCCTTGGCATTTACCCAAATGAATTTAAAACTTACATCCACACAAAAACCTGCACACGGATGTTACAGAAGCTTTATTTATACCTGCCAAAACTGGGAAGCAACCCAGATGTCCTTCAGCAAGTGAATGGATAAATAAACTGTGATATCCAGACAACAGAATATTATTCAACACTAAGAAGTGAGCTATTAAGCCATGAAAAGATACGGAAAAAACTTAAATGCATATTACCAAGTGAAAGAAGCCAATGTGAAAAGGCTACATACTGTTTGATTCCAACTACAGTCATTCAGGAAAAGACAAACCTATGGAGACAGTAAAAGGATCAGTGATTGCCAGGGGTTAGGAGGGATGAATAGACAGTACAGAGGATTTTTAGGGCAGTGAAACTGTTCTGTATGATACAATAATGGCATATACACATCATTATATAGTTGTCCAAACCCACAGAATGTACAACACCAAGAGTTAACCCTAATGTAAATTATGAACTATGAGCAATAATGACATGGCAGTATAGATTCACCAACTGTAACAAATTTATCACTCTGGTAAGGGATGCTGATAATGGGGAAGGCTGTGCATGTGTAGGGCAGGGAGTATATGGGAATTCTCTGTACTTTCTGCTCAATTTTGCTGTGAACCTAAAACTGTTCTAAAAAATAAAGTGTATTAATTTAGAAAGAAAAAAAAAGAGAGAAGAGAAAGAAAATGAGGGAGGAAGACAGCAAGCCAGCAAGCAGGCCACCCAAGGAACCAACTTTTCACAGTAAACAGTAAACCCAAAGTGTAAATAAAACTTTACCTTAAAAAAATGCATATAAAAATTATTTCTGTTCTTATACGTAACATAATCTTGCTTATAAATGCAACTATGTACTTATGCTTAAAATAGAATGCAAACCAAGTAGAGAGTTACAGCAAAATTTTTCCAAAACATTTTATGGTGGCACTAGAAGACACAATTCATTCCCTATTTGACTTTTACTGCATAATTTTGCAAAAACATCTTAAGGACTTTGACAGTCTCTTCAAGGGCCTCTCTGTCTTTTGATATTTAAATGATTCTATTTTGCAGGACCCATGATATCATCCTCCTCATCAATTTTCTTTTCACTATTAGTGGGTCTGTCTGTGGGATGGAACAGATGGGTGTGAAACTTTTTAACAGTTCTCAAACACTTCTCATTAAACTTCATGAACTCTTGCATCTTTTACAAGATTTGCAACTTCATTTCACAACTGATTGTGACTGCTTTATCAATCAGCAACAACAGTGTTAACAATAAACACTTATTTGACAGGCAGAGAAAGAAGTTGGTGTTAAGCTGTGATGTCTAGGCACGAACAAATTTCGTTAACTGGTCAGAGTTCATTAATAAAAATTCTCATGTTATGACTATTTTTATTCCTCCCTATCCAGTCACAGCTGGTGGGACTCAGGTAACCAAGAATCAGATAAAAAGGATTCTTGTTTATCAACAGCAAAGAAGCCAATTTAAGCTAAAAATGACTACTTCTACACTTATCTATTCTAGTGCTAGAAATACAAAGATGAACATAAAATAAATTCTAGGCATTCAATATAACATGATAGAATGATTAAACACACACACAAATGTGTTAAATACTATATCAAGGTCTGCATGTATGAAGTGCTGGGGAGGAAACATTAGATGGGAAGGAAATTCATTCTATTTCTCTCTGAATTAGGCCTTTAAGGAGAAATTTTAAAAGCAGATACCAGTGGAAAGGCTGCCAGGCAGAGGGTAGGAGGAGCAAAGAAAAGCCTAGTAACTGAAAACACAAAGCTCATTCAGAAAATTCAGTGTCCAGTGTAATGACCTATGTTAGTTGCTGCGATCAGGGGGACGTAGTGATTTTAAAACAACAGCAAAAAAAAGATTCACTCTAAAGAAGAGGGCTGGTGTCCAAGTTACACCGTGCAAAGAAGTTTGGATTGTATTCTTTAGCTACACGAAATCAAAGGATGATATTTGAGAAATACATTATGCTGGCACCAGCATACAGAATGGATTAGAGCGAACACCCAAAATGCAAGGAGATGCACAGGTGCCTCCTCTTACAGTGTCTAAGCAAAGATGGCAGGACGGGTCTCCAGGCCTTAAAAGCAGCAAAGGGGAGCAGACAGAAGGCGTGGATGCAAAACTAGTCCACCAGGTCTCAGTTACCACGGCATGTGGAGGAGGGACTTCTAGGGGAATAAAGGTAAAAATAATTCTGGGGTTCTGGCCAGGCTGCTGTTAATAACTCAAAAGACAGAAGCAAGAGAAGAACATTCCGAAGTGGGGAGGAGCCGCAGGGTTAAATTTGGGACAGGTCGAATGGACTGAGTTGAGGTGGTGAGGTCTGATAAACAGCTGCAGATGCACTGGCACTCAGCAAAAAGCTGGAGCAAGAAACAGATTGGGAAGTGTCAGTAATAGTGACAGCTGGAACCACAGTAAATGCTACTGCCTATGGGAAACCACGGAATATCAACCAGGCAAATCCCTCCCCTCCCCCCACCCCCAACTGCCTTGTTTTGCCTTTATTTATTTTTCTTCATTTTTATTTTTTACTTTGTTTTTTTTAGTCAAGTACAGTACTGAGAAGAGGGAAAGAGTAGAACAAGGAGTTCGACCTGTAACTTACTGTAAACAATCAACTGAGATAACTCATTACCTTCGGACCACTCTATTTTTTTTTGGCAGCTGGCAGGTACGGGAATCCAAACCCTCGACCTTGGTGTTATAACACTACCTCTAACCAACTGAGGAACCCGGCCAGCATCTATTGCCTTGTTTTTAAAGCTAGGCTGCCCACTTTCCCATGGCCTAAATCACTTCTTTTTTCATTAAACTTATTCCATAACTACACTCTATTCCAGAATACAGAACTGAGAGACAGTGAACACCATGCAACATTATTTTAAAAGGTCCTCCAATCAAAACGGAAAGCTGTGTCTTCCAATACTAACAACCCCTGTAGAAAACAAGATATCCTCAATGCTTTTGTTAATGACAGGTTTGAGCAAAACACAAAGACTAGACTCTCTCCCTAAAGAGAGTCACAAAAATGTCTTAAGGCTGGATCCAGGGTGTCCAAACATTTTCACAGGCCACAGGTAAGAGCACTGATGCAGGAGAGCAAACACCAGAGATCTGGCAGTTCAAGATTTGACTGCAGTCTATAACCACCTCAGGCAAGTCACTTCTCCCTTAGGTTTTTCATTTTCTAGTATGTGGCCTAGAATAATCACCACTCAGTTGAGAATTCTCAGGACTAACTAAATGTGGGTTAAAGTTTTAAAGAGAGTTTTATTTATTTTTTTAAAGTGCCATTAGGCAAATTCAGGGATTATCTAAATACCTTTGGTTTTCTTTTCTCTGCTTCCTACCAACTGCCTTTTGACTCTGCTCATAAGCATATCTGTTAAGAGGGGCCTGAAGCACAAAGAGGAAGTGAAGCTCAACTGGTTAATCTTGCCGAGTTAGCAGCTCTGGTGAAAGACTGTAGGTGCAGAAAAGGAATCAAATATCTAAAACTGGATTTGGGGGTTATCAGTGGCAGCCAGCCAGTTTCTAGATACTGCACTCACCCTGGCCAGCCAACGAAAATAAAATTAGCTAAAAAAAGGACTCAACACATTTTTAAAGGTCTAAAGAGAAGGACGAACACTCGATTTCAAATGGTCACCTCCTGGGGGTAGAGTGATGACAGAAGTCAAGGGGGTATTTATGTTTTTCTGTTATATTTTTCAGTTAAGTCTGAGTACGTACACACATACTTTTTAGTTTAAGATTAAATATATTTAAACTTGAAAAAAGAAAAAAAAAAAACCTTTCTACATTACTCTTATTTTTGGAGCCACGCCTCCCAGTATTGGCTAATCACACAGTTACACGACGTCTCAACGATCCTGGAGGGGACGAACAAATGTCACCCCTTCACCACTGACAAATCCAGAGGGAAAAAATCAAATCATGGACCCGAGGCACTAGAAGTGAGGTTACCAAGTGACTTTTTAAAAGCCAGCCACACATCCCCCCCACCATCCAAGGCCGTAAACCGCAAAGGGACTTTCTGGACCTATTTTAAGCTTCGGTAGAAAACGCACTTTGTGATGGAACAGCATTGTTCTCCTAGAAGACGTTTTCTCACGAAACCGACATTTTTACAAAAGTCCGCGTGTGGACGGTCTCGGGCGGCCGCGGGGCCCGTTTCCCCGGATCCGGCTCGGATTTCTCCAGGGCCGGGAGAAAATGGTTTCCGGCCGCCGCGGCCCCCCGGTCGGGCCCCACCCCCCGCCCGGCCGCGTCACCTGACCGGCGCGCGGCCCGCCGCCCCCCGCCACAGACCTGATGACACTGATGTGAAACTGGTCCTCGCGAAGGCCCCGCCAGGCGCCGGGCAGGAACTCCTTGCACCACAGATAGG